CAGGAGTGGTGAGCTCACCGTATGGGGGCCTCACAAGCCCTGGCTTTGGGACCCTCCAAAGCCCTGGCTTCACCCGCACCAAGTCTGCCGTGGTCGTGAAGAAGATCGAGACCCGTGATGGGAAGCTGGTGTCTGAGACCTCTGATGTCCTACCCAAGTGAATGGGCCACAGCAGCCTCTCCCAGCCCATACCCCGCCTGTAGCTGCCCCAGAGCCTGTGGGGGAGACAGCTGCACATGGGAGCATTGGGAACAAGAGACCCACCTGAGGCTCAGCCCTAGTCCTCAGCCCACCCTTGCGGGGAATCTACTGCCTGGGGTACCCCTTCTTGCCCATGCCCTTCACCAAAAACCAATTGAATTGTTTTTTCCAAAATAAAGCCTGGTTTTGCCACCTGAACTGATGAATGTGCGTTTCCTGTCCTCAGGGGTAGGAGGGGAGTAGGCAGGAGACCTCTTTCCAGATTTAGAAGCTGGGAAAGGCTCAGGAAGCAGGGGCCGGGGCAGGAAGTCTGGCCTCATCCAGGCTGTTGCCAAAGGGATTCCTTTGTGCAAAGCAGCTGGTGCCCTGGTTGTGGCGGTCTATACTTGTGTAACGGTCTGTCTCCTGTGCAGGGCACCCCAGGGTTTACAGCGGCTCTCGATACCCATGTCATTTGATGCACGAGGTGGGCGGAGTAGGTCTTGGACGGCCTTATCAGGGAGAGTTTAGTTCGCTTCCCCGCAGACCTCAGCATCAGGACTGCTTGCAGATAAGGAGAGCCTGGCTCGGACAAGCCAAGTCACTGGCTCACCTAGAAAGTGGCTGATCTGGGACGGAAGCCAAGACTCGGTTCTCCAGGCTGTATTCCTTGTTGGCCGGGCAGAGGCCTCTTGTGGCCAGAGATGTCTATTTACCACCTTTGCCCTCAGCAGCTGAGCAGCCCTGGTTTTCCCATGCTCTCGGAGGTCCAGAGGCCTTTTCTCAGTGGTTGAGTGTCTGTATGCCTGAGATTTCTAGAAGCCCAATAGCACTGTGCAGGCTTGGAGCCGATGCGTGCGGTGCGTGCTTCCCTGGCCCCCTCACAGTGTATCCACCCTGATTACGTCTCCCCACCCTTTCCCAGCCTTCTCCAAGCTGTGTGTGACACACGGGGCGTGTGCACACCCTGTGTTTGCATGTGGAGGTGGACTGTGTGCAGATGGGTGTGTGTGGGTTCTTGAAATGCAAAGGGGGTTGCATAGCTCTTGAAACAATCTCCACGATTTGGAGCGGGAGCGGTTTGGACGTTGGGGTGGAGCATGCTCCTCAGTACTCCTGCACCTCCCTACGGAGCGCACAATGACTGGGGAAGGGCTGGCCTGGGGAGCTCACGCCCGGCCCTGCTCTGGGTTCTGGGTTCCTGCTGCAGGGCTGCCCTGCCCCCTCCCTCACTAGCCCCCGCCTTGAAGCTGGGCTGGCACACAGGCTGGGCGTGCTCCCTCCCCACCCAGTCCAGGGCTCTGCACATTGTCACAATAAAGGACTTCACCCAGCAGTGATAAAAGCACCAGTACCCAGAGCAGTGGCTCTTAACTATTTTGGCAATGGCCCACGGTAAATTCACTGTTAGCACAACCTACAAACACACATATGAAACGAGCTCCATAAAACACTGCAACCGCTTGCCCTCTGTGGGTGGGAGCCCTCCCTTAGTGGATGCTGGGGTCAGGAGGGTGGTGTTGGAGCCAGGGCAGTCCCCACCCCTGGCTCCCTGGGACCCCACTTGGTATGTTTTATCTGACTCCACCCCTTGGCTGCCAGAGTCCTCTGGGCATTTCCTCACGCTGGTGTTCCAGGAGGGAAAGGCTGGGTGGCCCCTGGGGAGAATTTCTTTTCCTTTTCCCGTTCATGTTCTACCAGATTCTTGGGCACCTTCCAGGGACCAAGGGCACCCAGCATTCAGTGGTCATCATCCCCATTATCTGTAGGGATTGAAATGAAGATGAGAGCTGCAGATCCAGCTACTGGGTAGAATGAAAGCTACTCCTTTCCTTCCTCCCTGCTTCCCACTCCTCTTCTTCCTTTCTCTCTCCTTCCCTCCTTCTCTCTCTCTCTTTCTCTCTCTCTCTCTCTCTCTCTCTCTCTCTCTTCCCTCTCTCTCTTTTTTGTGGTACTGGGGATTGAACCCAGGGTCGTCTCACTGAATTACATTCTCGCCACATGCTGATTTTTACTTTGAGGCTGGGTCTCGCTACATTGCTAAACTGCCCAAGCTAGGCTTGAACTTGTAATCTTCCTGCCTCAGCTTTGCAGAGTGCTGGGATTACAGGCATGTGGCACTATGCCTGGTCCATTTCTTAAATATAATTGGTCTTGAATATTTGTGGCTTCTACATCTGTGGATTCAAGCAGAAATATTTCAGAAAATATTACAGAAAAGAATTGCTGCATATTGAACACATACATTTTTTTTCTTAAAAAATAGAGCCCAATGCTATTAACATAGCTTTTATATTGTATTAGATATTATAAGTAAATCAATCTGCCAGGTGTGGTGGTACATGCCTGGAATCCCAGCACTTGGGAGGCTGAGGCAGGAGGATCATTGTGAGTTGGAGACCAGCCTGGGCTACAAAGTGAGCTCAAGGCAAGCCTGTTTTTTTTTTTTTTTTTGGTTTTTCTCTGGTACCAGGAACCGAACTCA